AATTAGGGTGTAACAACTAGTTAATGAATGTAGAATATTTGATTGATATTAGATGTGTAGAAAGTCCAGATAATACTCATGGTTCAAGAAGATCATATCTGGAGATATCCCTCAATTGTATGGCTGCAGATTTTTACACTTTACAGCTTGAATATGTGAGACTTTAAAATCAAGTCACTGAATTTAAAGTCACAAAGCAGTGTGCTTCACTGCATCTCTTCTCATACAGCTTATTTCGTTTCAGTTAAAAAAAATAAATACGTGTACTACTTTTTTGATTCCCTATATGTGATACTTCCTTTGCTGAGCCTTTAATATGTTATTTCAAACATCTTATCAGGAATAGTTTTTTTTTTTTTTCAATTATTAGATTACTGAAAAATGTGAGTTCCAGAGAGATTAAATGAGTTGTTCAGCATCATACAAGCAGGACATAACAGAGCTAAGTTACTATCTAGGTCATCATAATTCAAAAAGTTTATGTGCTTTCCTTGAAACTGTATTGCCTCCTTAAATAGAACATCTGAAATATCTGGCATAAGATTTTGATATTTGCAGCATGAGATTGACTTAAATAATTTTGCATATAGGAAATGAATCTAACATGGACAAGACCAAGAAATCAGTAACCAACAGTGAAATTGTTTCTATTTCAAAAAAAATCACCATGCTGGAAATGAAGGAATTAAATGAAAGACAGCGGGCTGAACATTCTCAAAAAATGTATGAACACTTAAGGACTTCATTAAAACAAATCGAAGAACGTAATTTAGAATTGGAAACCAAATTTGCTGAGGTTCGATATTATAAGTTTTCATGCATTACTGAGTAAAGAATTAACCTTGGTAGACATTGTATTATTCTTTAGAGGTTTGTTTGTGTCTCTGAAGTAGCATATTAATATTGTGGCTGTATTTCATATAATAAATGATTTCTTTTCAAATCTGAAATATTTAGAACCAAAGCAGCTATTTCTGTGAATGGGATCTTGTTTCTTACCAAATTTCATTATTAGATTTAATGTGAAAGGTGTTATTTGTTTAATCATGGAACTGCCTTCCACTATCATTCATTCATTTAACAAATATTTATTGAGGCCTATTGCATGTTAGGCACTATAAGGGGACCGGGACTATAACAATAAACAAAATGGACAGTAATCATTGCCCTCAGGGAGTTTATAATCTAA